TGGCCACCTCCCCATGACCCTCCATCTCGCCCAGTCTTGTCTTCCTCCTGCTGCTTGTCATGCTCTGAAACACACCTAGGCTGTTCTGCACGGCGGTTCTGCTTCCACCGTGCCCTCCTCAGCCTGGACTCCGGGAAGGCAGGGTGTGCAGAGACACACTCCCACAAGGGGAACCAGGCCCTGTGCCAGGGCTGTCACGGCAGCCTCACCGGAGGCGAAGGGCCAGCCACAACTCTGAGTGCAGAAGCGAGGGCCAGGCAAAACCCACGGACACACACAGGGCCTTTGGGGACAAAGAAGCAACACACAGATGCGCACCGAGTATGGACAGGGACCCCTGACAAGCGCTCAGGGTGGCAAGCGTGCCTGGGTGTAAAACCCGGGGCAACCTGCAGGACAAAAGAGGAAACAAATGGGGCCCAGAGCCCCTTTCTGTGAGGATAAACCTCTGCCCGGTTAGGGCAGCCACAGGAGGCCGCAGGAGCTGTCGCTGGGTGGGGGCAGAGGCCCATCAGAGGCCACCTTGGGGGCTTCCAGGTTTATTATCCAGCCCCCACATGGGTGTCATTTAGAGACTCTCACCCCATCCTCACACAGCCCTCTATGGTGAGGGCCACAGGCCTTCTCAGACAGAGGAGGAAGTGACGCTCAGAGAGGGGCATAGCCTCGCTGAAGGCCACACAGCAGTCGGCAAGGCAGAAGCCACCACCTGGGATCCAGTCACGATGCCAAGCTGACTCCTAACAACAACATCAACATAACAATAATAACAACAGCCAGCCTGCATCCAGAACTCACCACCTGACATCCCCATGATACTCAGGGCACTCTGCACTCTCACCAACCCCGAGGCAGGTGCTGGTGTCCCCAGAATCCACAGTTGTGCCCAAGGCCGCACGGCTGCAGCAGAGCAGGGCAGGCAGGGCTCAACACCCCAGGCCCGCCCAGACGTGGGGCTGCCGGCCACCAGGCCCTCCTGCAGGGGTCGGTTGACATCTGCTCCCCTCTCCAGGAGCACTTTCCTCCTCTATGAAGTGGGTCCAAACAGCACAAGGGTGAGCAGGAGAAAACGCAGCAGGAGGCCAAGCGGAGGGGAGCCAGGCTGGGCGCAGCCATCCCACTGACCGTTCGTCCGCTGAGTCCACATGGAGAGGGTCTCCTCTGCCCCTCAGCCCTGACCCCAGGCCACCCACGTCTGAGACCCCAGAGCTCGGCACGAGTGGGGCAGGGGTGGGGCGGGAGCTCCCTTCCGGCTTCTACCCGGGACGGCTGAAGGAGAGGCCCAAGAAAGGGCTGGGAAGGGTCGACGGCCGCGGCCAGGCTCCCGGCGACCAGGGCCCTCCGCCCTGCCGCCACTCCTGGGGAGCATGGGCTCAGGCGGGCGCTGGACCAGGCCCCGTGCCGGGGCTGCCATGGCGGCCGCATCAGAGGTCAAGGGCCAGCCACGACTCTGCGTGCAGAAGTGGGGACGAGGCCAAACCCACGGACTCGGGGAAGTGTCCAGGACGCAGACCAGGGGAGACCTGAGAGGACCCCGAGGACAGGCGCTCACGGCAAGCCCCCAGGAAGGCTGGGCGCACTGCAGAAAGCCGACAGCCCGAGGGCAGGGCAGGCTGAGGAGGGTGCACACAACAGAGCAAACCGCAGGACTGGAGACGGCTCTCAGCAGGATCTTAGCAACTGTTCTGCATCTACACATCCGTATGCACAGCAGGGGTGGGGTGGGGGGCAAACAACCAGGGTTTATTTATCCAGAAAAAGGCATTTAAAAGTGTGTGTTTATTCTTCCGTGTTTGAACCTCAGTCACCTTCAAAGACCTCGGTCTGACGCAACGCCCCTGGTGAGATGCTTTGTCCACTGCTTCGAGCAGTTTTCAAACTCATCCATTTTTCATGCCTTTTGGTGTTTCTGCTGTTTTTTATTTCACCTCTTCCCCACAGGCAAAATGTTTTCCTCCGAGGACTTTTTTCGTCCGGGGAGCAATCAGGTGAACAGGGAGGGCGGGGCACGTGGGTCACACCACTTTGGGCCAAAAACTGCTGAACACTCGGTGCGGTGTACAGGTACGCTCATACATCACCCATCACAAAACAGGCAAACGCGGTGAAAAAATCTCCAAAAAGCTTTTCACGGAACCCAAACGCAGCCTCTTGCAACAACACTAGCAGGCACAAAGACGCCGATGGGTCCCAGAACACTTACCTAGCGGGGAGACCCGCACGACAAGGGGCCCAGCCCTCGAAAAAGACTTCTGGGCTGTGAGGTTCCCCCCCAGCACATGCAGGCATTACACGCAAGCAAGAGCAGCAGTGGTCGCGTGGCAAGTCGCGCGGCTGAGCATTCACTGAGCACCTACTACGTGCAGGGCCACACTCCAGGCACTGGTAGCCAGGACAGACACGGTCTGCCTTCGTGGAGTCTGCATCTCGAAGAGGTGGCTCCATCCGCATTCCTTTGTATTCCTCACCCTTCGTTTATGTGTCTGTTTATGTTACTATTGACAGGGCGGGGGCAACGGAGCTAATATCCATCATATTCTTAGCCTCCCGCCCTCCCGTCTGAGCTGAGAGACCTCCGCGTTTAGCCTGAATCAGAGCAGGACAAGAAGGTGCCCTCTCAGCTCTCAAGGTCAGCAGCCACAGAGGCAGGGGCACGCAGTGATTGGAAGGGGATGAGACCGGGGAGTCGCCCCCCACCAGCTGTGCCCT